ACAGAGCATACAATTTGTTAATCATTTTCCCACATGACAGCACCTGCTTTCCAGTTGGTTAGGCAAACAAATAAACATTCAAGCAGGTGAATAGAGCAGGCAGCTCTGGTGTTTAGTCAGAGGATACTAGTATCTGCTGGTTAGAACAGCAGGTTCTCTAACTGGATATAGACAGACTGGCCATACGCAGTATGTCCTTGTCTGCTACCATGCAGCAATTCACCTTGAGAAAATCATCAGAATGACTTGCACAAAACCACACAATGCTTTTTTTCTGTTTAGCCAAAATTACATAAAGGCTTCATGTGTCTATGATTTGCATGTTATTTAATTAATCTCCTCCTGTGTTTAAACCTTGTCATTTTACGGAATGTCATTTTAGAATTCGGCTCATCAGTTTGACTAACATCAGTGTGTTGAATGAAAAATGACATGGTGACAGGCTCCTCTGAGCCTAGAGTGGGAATAATTGTCCTGTAGTGTGAAAATGTGAAATACGTTTATCACAGCTGGAGTGACCCCACCGCCTGAGTGGTTACACAGATACTATGCAACACATAGGATTATACTGTGTTATAGTGGTTAAAAGGAGGGTATAGCCGCAAGCTGTGACCAATTAAAGTTGAACAAAGCCAGCTCATCTGCTCAGCTCCTCTCTTAGTAGGTCAGTGAAACTGATGGAGAATACAGACATATGCACACTTCTGTGGCTTTGCACACAACTTTTACCAGCACATTCACACACCACACTGTATAATACACATTGGACAAAACACATTCAGTAAAAACAAACAAAACCTCATAAATCTGAAGGAATAGCTTCAAATGCACAAATTTAAAGGTGTTTTCTGAAAACAAGCATTACAAACCACAGGAGAAAATAAATGCATTTCTGGCCTCCCTACTTGTGAATAATGTTTTTCTCTTGAGAAATGAATGTGCCATTCTGTAAAGAGGTGGTGTAACATAATGACACATGTATGAGTCCTAAGCAACCACAGAGACAGAGCTGCAGGGATACAGGACATAAAGTCACTTTGCAGGGAGGGTTGCATTACCATTGGAGTGATGTATGACCCAAAGTCCCATCTGAGGGCTCATGTTACAAGGCTTTTGCTGCACTACAGAGATAGCTTTCCGTATATGGAGTCAGGGGCTACAGTAATGTATGGACTCCTGTTGTTGCCAAAGCTCTGACTCAGCTCACTGACTCGTGCCTCTAATCCTGACCTCTGGCCTGATACCTAGACATTTCAGACATATTATTGCAAGAATCCCTAAAGGAGGAATGATCTTGTCATCGGTCACCTTGGTTACAGCACAAATGTTGTAATATAATGACACTGATAGAGCTGTTTTTTCCTGGTTTAGCCTGTTACACACTCCAGATGAGAGTATTTGTTTTTCAGTTTCATATTATAGGTTTTAACTTAGCAGAAGTTCTGAATGATGCAACTCCATGGTGAGTGATCATTGCAGTCAGTGAGCTTTTTTACATTTTGTTTTTTGCACCATTACATTTTTCTGACAGCTGTAGTCACTTTGCAGATTGAGGCATTATATACAAAATATATTGCCTACTGTAGCTGACAGTATATGAAATAGTTAAAACTAGCTCCACCTTGACCCACTACTACCTTTTGCTGATTGTAAATTACTTTAGTAAATTAGAATGTAGTATGTTTACTTGTAACAGTGTACTTTTTACACCGTGTATTGTTTTTTTATGTGCATAAAAGAGGTAACTTCTTCCACAACTGACAATTATGCAATAAGCATGGCATCAGAGGATTAGCGTACCACTACTTTGTGTTATCATAAGAATTCTAAATTAACATTTACACCAAATTGTGTGTGGATGTTCAAATTTCTGTGTTGTTCACTTGGACATGATCTTATTTTGTATTTAAATACACAGTTTTCATCTACAATGAATGGCTTTGTTTTCTGTGTTTCTCAGGTTACCTTCACAAAGAGGAAGTTTGGCTTGATGAAAAAGGCCTATGAGCTGAGCGTACTATGTGACTGTGAGATAGCCCTCATCATTTTCAACAGCTCTAACAAACTGTTCCAGTACGCCAGCACAGACATGGACAAAGTGCTGCTGAAATACACAGAGTACAACGAGCCCCATGAGAGCAGAACCAACTCTGACATTGTAGAGGTGAGTGAGCGTCACTTTCTTTCTTTGCGAGGGAAAACTTCAATCACATCACACCTTCTCGCCTCAAGGTTGATCAGCTACAGTTTTCTTTTTATATAATTTATATTCTGATTTAGACTAAATGAAATAGTAAGATATTTATGTTAGTGTAGTAGTGGATTCAAAGCATAAAAAATACATAACCCATAAAAGTTTTGTTAAATGCTGCAAGGCTATCATAATGGAAAGACAAGGGTGAGGAACAAGTACAGTAACAGTTTCCGTTCAGTCACCATTTAGATAGGGCACAGGAGGTCTGCACTGCCTGATAAGTTCATCTTCTCTTGTACCCATCAACTGATGTGGAAAACTTATCTCTGCACACACATGAACACAGTGGCTGCTGACCCTGTTTCCCATAGATATTGTACCTGTAGGGTACAGTTCTCTGGCTGTTCCTCATTACAGACAATCAGCCTGGCTATTGATGCAGAGTTTTTCTGTGAAAATTGAGTGTTTAGTACATTCCTTACTGCTCTAAAAAGCTCAATAAACACTTGGGTTTCCTGGCAGCCACTGCATGCCTAGCAACTAGCGGAAGAGTCAGCCACTTGTTATGCCAGCATACAAAATTGTCAGCCAAAAGTATACAAGGTAAAGTAAATGAGAACAATTAGGGATACGTCCTGATCCAGACATCACTGACACACGTGGTCTCTCAGCTTATTCAAGATCAGCTTTTAAGAGCCAGGTATCTTGTGCAATGTATTGATTCCTATTGCGAAAATCATGACAATTCTAGTATATAATTTGCCATTCATTTTATATAGCTATTATTTAAAATACACTTAGATTAACTTAAGAGAGTTTTATTAGACAATTCAGACTGCTGCATTGTCACTGTTTACTGCCACCTCCCCACTAAAGCCTACAGCTTTTGTATTACAGCCTCCCAATTAAGGGACATTAGGCTTTAAGACGGGTGAGATTAAAAAATTTCAAGAATCCACTGGAAAAGACTTCCACTTTGAGAAATTAGTGAAATTACATGCAGTATAAAGGAGTCAGCTGTGGCCCATTATCTTTTATTCATGCTGCTGCTACTGCCTGTGAATTACCTGCTTGGCAGAGCTGCAGAGGAGCGCTCTGGCATCCAGTGGAATGATGCAGTCACTCCTCCATCAGGGCCCCTCGGAGCAGAGCAGGCCTCACCTGCATAAAAAATACATGGATTCATTCTGTACTTACATAACAATGACCAACAATTTGGTTGTTGCAGCGATTCTGCAAGCTGTTTTATTTTAAACAAGACTTTGGGTCATTCCCATCACATACAGTATATCTGTGGTATGTTTATGATGGTAGCATGGTGTAATTGGAATGTACATTGTACATAATGTAACACCAGTGGTCCCATGTTGATTTTGCACTTAGCCCTTCTGGCTATTCACAAGAAAGCTGCCCCCCGCTGCACAAGACGAGAACAAGACACTGTTGTCCCCGCTCACTCGGCCAGCATCTTTGCAGATACACATAAATCCTGCTCTGCCTGCTGGCTACATGGTTAAGGTTCACAAGTGAAGAAGCAGAGCAGAAGTAATTAACATAGTCTTGAAATCATCACAATACAACGCCACTATTCACATGGCCAGAGAGCTGATGCGTGTCGGTGGTGGATAATGTGTGGAAGCTATGATCTGATCAAATTTGAAGAGAAATCCTAATCTCTGCTGTTTCGCTGACTGCTTGTATGAATGAACCTAGTCTTTGCGTTTATCTACACATTCTTGTACACTACATCCACCCCTCCCCTGTTTATTTGGTGAAATAGGCTTCACATGACAACACTTATACTGGACACTTATCCCATTTTTTTATTGTGTTAAACCAATCTTTGCCATGCAAACAACCATGTGCTCATTTGTTTGGTTTGGGAGGCCAGAAAAACCCTCTCCCACTTTTCACTGGGGAGATCATTCCATGTGAAAAACTGAATCAAAGGTCACATTCTCGCTCAGTAGTACCATCTGTAGATAAAGGCTGAGCTGTGCCTTGTATGGGAGAACAGTCTCCATGTTTTCCACAGATGGATGCATGCCTGTGCCACGGTTTGATAACCCAGTGGAGGGCTATGGACTTTGTGTCAAACCTGGCTCACAGTCCAAAGCGAAGCGCTACGCTCAAAATTTTCCTCTATGTGTGTGTTAGTGTGTGCATTTGTGTGTGTCTGTATGTGTTGATGGCTTTAACCTTAAAAACACTCCAGGTGAAAAGGTGAATCTCTTTTTTTTTTGTCACAAAACCCTCGGTAAATTTCAAGCAATATTAAGATCACATTTCATTATTTTATTTATAGAAGTTCTTGAAAATATTATATTGTTTTCCCAAAATTATATAGTAAACTCTCACATTTTGCTTTGGTCAGTCTCTTAAAAATCAGCAACATCTGCATTTGCAGCTGAAAGTAAACAGTTACCATTCGGTGAAGAAAAAAATCATATTTGCTGTATCTATGTTCTTTAATAATGCAGAAGATTGACACACAAATATTGACTGATCGAGATCATACTCATCAACATACAGTAATAATTGTGGTATTTAATAGGGTTGTTTATTGTGTAGCGAGCAGAGTATGACTGAAGGTTTCATGGCATTATTTCTATTGTGCGTCCTGTTGAACTCTGTTTATACCACAAATGAAAATGCTTTTGTTAGTCATTAGATTAATTTAATAATATTTACTCTTCCTCTCCTCTCCACTAGTGGAGCTAATGACATTTTGCTTATGCTCTGATACAACCTTAATGCCAGTTTCCTGCACACATCCTTCTGACTCCCGGAGAGACCTTGAAATCAGACAGTAACTTCACAGGCGCCATTTGGCAGTTTGCGGCCCTGTTTTGAGCAAGTCAATATAACTAAAGAATATACTGGTATATATAATGTAGGCTTAATCGGGTTTCCAGGCACATTGCAAATTGACATTAAATTAACACTTAATTGTAATGTTCAAAAATCAGATTTGATCCCAGTATGAGGATGCAATTTTAGCCAAATACAAATGCATATCTCAACTGCATCATACACACAGAACTGACTTTTCATTTCTTTTTTTGTCTTTTACCCTGATGATGTGTGAAAGTAAATAACATGAGCTCATTCATTGGGTGATTCTGCTTATCTTTCTCATAATAAAGAGGGGAGGCAATTGTTACTGTGACAATTCCTGGTCTATTTATGAAAGAATGGTCCCCCTCTCACAGCAACACTGTGGAAGTGGAAATGAGCACAGTGTTGCCATTAGAGTTTATTTCATGATGACTATCAACTTATGCCATAAATGGAGCTGTATTAATCACTCAATAAGATATGTTAATTTTGACCATTGCTGAATGTCAAGCCCTGTGTTTTCATATGAATCCCATCTTTCCCTGTATTTTGTTTGAGAATCATCCTGCCCTTTGCGGATTTTACAGGGACAAAAGCAATATACACAATCACCAAAACTAAAGCTTGAGTTTGGCATCATGTCCCATATTATCATTTTTATTATTATTATTATTATTACCAAAAACAGACAATCAGTGCATCAACCTTCAAAGTGCATTTTCAGTAACTTACAGCTCAAAGAAAAATATCTTTTATTGCCAGTTATGGAATGAATCCTTTAAAAAGGTCTGGACTGAATGAGCACCAGGACTTTCAGAAAGGGGATGCTTATGTTGTCAATCAAAGGATGAGCAGTGATTAAGACTCATTTCTAACTTAATGAATGCAAATTGGCACATCTGTTATGGTGGGATAGCTGTCCAGACTCTTCAATTAGCATGATTGATCAATTATCCTTCTGCTGGTGGCTCACCGGAAATGGAGGCTGGGGAATGGACTTGGGGGGGGGGAGTGCAAAGC